CCTGTGCATCTCAGTCCTTCTGCCCCTTGGGTGCTCTGGATGGCTTCATCTGAATCTTGTACAGGAACCAGTGCCAGGGTAGGACACCCCGAATTGTGGCTGGCACATGAGGTGCAGTGGAGAAGGGTAATGTCTGGGACAGTCTTTTGAAGGAGACCCCCCCGCCCCCATTTTCCCAAGGTTTACCTCCAGGTTCTTAGAAACCTGCTCAAGTAAATTGTTATCATATGTATTTATCTTTCTCTAATTTGAGGGGCAGCACCTTGTTCTGTGACTTTTTTTTTTTTAAACAGGGACTTGCTACACAGTTTAGGCTAGTCTTGAGCTTACTTTGTAGCATAGGTTGGTCCCTTAACTTGCAAGGATCTTTCTGCCTTAGCCTCCCATGCTGGGATTATAGACATACACCACCATACCTGGCTGTCCTATGACTTGATATTCTGACAAATCCAAGAAGGTATTTTTTGTTGTTGATTAGTTTGTTGACCATTTTGCTTGCTATTAGTATAGACTGGCAACTTCCAAGCTCCTTACATGCCAGACCAGAAACTACCAGGGTATGGTGGCTTATGCATGTAATCCCATGGTAGGGAGACTGAGGCAGGAGGATTGCCATAAATTCAAGGTCAGCCTGGGCTACATAGAAACCACTACTTTTCCCTGTTTTTAATCTTCAAGAACTGTTGTTTTCCTTTTCGTAGCCTCTTGTATTTTGTGATGATGGATATTCAGCTTCCTTGAGAATACCAGTTCTGTAATTTGTGATCATTTCTTTTTTTTTTTTTCTTGTATTTTTACCAATACCAGGGATCGAACTCACAACCACAGGCTTGCAAGGCAGGCGCTTATGCTGCTGAGCTAAATCCCAAGCCCCAATTTGTGATCATTTCAATGCTCAGATCATTTGGGAGGCAGTGGCACTGTTCTTGTGTTTCTCTTACTTTGTGATTGCTGAGCTTTGGTCATGTTTAGGGCTGAAGGATTGATGGTGAAGGATTCACCTTTTCTTCAGTGCTAAACAGAAGATTCCCTCTTCTAATGGAGATAGTCAGCTGTGTGGGATGAGTGCAGTGGTGTGCAGAGGCCTTAGCGGAGTTTTGCTTCAGGATCCAGGGACAGTGACCGCCCAGACTGGTTCGCACTGAGGCACCGTTTCCTACAAGCCAGCGCCCAGCATGCCCAGCATGGGGTTGGGTCCACACGCATGTGTATGTGCACATGTATGGAACAAGGTGCCAAAGGGGGGTGGTAACGTCTGGGGCAGTCTAGAGATCGGAGCTAACCTCTGTTCTGACCACCTCTGTTCTCACTTCAGACCTCCTTCTTCCTGTTTGCGGTCAGGGGGACCTGGGTATGCCTTGGGGAGGTATGTACCTGCTTGTCTCCCGGCCAGTGTCTTGTCTCACCATTTGGGTCTGTGACACACTTCCTCCATTGTGTAGCTGTCCTCGGACCTCTCCCAGTGCATGAGTGTGCTGGGGGTGGGATAAGATAGCACTCTTGGCAGTGAGACCTCTCTGATCTGGCCTTCTAGGACAGTTGTACATGTCGTTATTCAGTTGGCTTTGAGGAATTATAAATTCATCCGTGATAGAAATGTGTGTTTTGAAGATGTACAGTTGGTAATCAGGTCCCCCTCCCCCAAGGCCTGCTGTTCCAGCTTCTTGGCACAGAACTCTTTTCCTTTAGAGCCATCATTTAAATGTGCATTCCTGATGCACATAGTGATCACTGCTTTTGTTGCATCCCCAAATTTTGATGCCATTGTGTTCTCATTTTTATTGCATTCACAGTATCTGAAATGCCCTTTGTCCTGGAGTCATGAGTTAAGGACAGTTACTTACCTTTCCAGATAGATTTGTATTGTTCATTTCAGAATAGTTGCAAAGTTATTGTTTCATTTCAGAGTTACTGTTTAATCGTGATGTGGTAAGAGAGAATGTTATTTTGTAGTATTTCAAATTTTTGTAGGTGTTTTGAGACTTGCATTGTGACTCAGAATAGCCTGTGTGTCTGGGTGAATTTTCCCATGTGAACTAGGAAAAATACGAATTTTGGCATTATTCATTTCAGGTCAGTTGTTGATGATAGTCAGCTCTTCTCTGTCTTTTCTGGTTCTTTTCCCACTTGTTACCTCAGTTGGTGAGAGTTGTATAATTAAATGTAATTATGGCTATGACTATCTTCATTTCTGTCAGTTTTTGCTTCACCATTTGGGTGTTAGTACTCTATAATTAGGTTTGTATATATTTAAGATTATTATGCTTCTTGGTTAATTTACCTTCTTACCATTTTGAAATGTCCTGTTGAAGTATAGTAGTTGTTTGTCCTGAAGTTAATTTATCTATTAATAATTGGTTCTTCCCTTCTCTAGTTTAATTGGTACAATCAGACTCTTTATTTAGTGTTGTGCTGGAGCAGGAAAATACTTTTGCTTAAATATAGGGTTGTCCATAAGTAGACAAGCTGATTGCTCATTTTGTAGCGCCTTAGATTTATTCTGCTGTATTCTGGTTTGCATTGTCTTTAAACAACAAATCTGGGGACTGTCTCTATTTAATGTGTCTCCTGTTCTTTGGCTCCTTTCTCTCTTTTTTGTTTCATGGCATAACTGGTGTTTACACTGAGCTACATTCTACCCCCACGTTTTTCTTTCTTTCTCTTTAGTTTTTGATACAAGGTCTTGCTGTGTAGCATAGTCTGGCCTCAACTCACAGAGGTCTTCCTGCCTCAGCTTCCTGAGTGCTGGGATTGCAGGTGTGTGCCACTACATCTGATGCTTTATTATTTTTTGAGGGAAGGTTTCATTAAATTGCAAGTTGCCCAGGCTGAGCTCAAATCTGCAATTTTCTGACTCAGCCTCCCAGAATTCTGGGATTATGAGCAGGAACATAACCACGACACCTGCCATCTTTGGCTTGTTTTAAAAATTATTTTTATTGCCAGCATGGTGGCATGCTCCTGTAATCCCCAGTGCTCTGGAGATGGGAACAGGAGGATCAGTTCAAGCTCAGGGCCGGCTGCCTAGTGAACCAGCCTTATGAGACCCTGTTTCAAAAAATAAAACAAAACAAAACTTTTATTAATGTTTTTTGGAAATTTGACTAGGAAGTGCTCTGACAGGATTTTCCTTTTTAAATCTTGCTTTGCCTTTATTGAATTTGTTAGCTCTATGACTGCTTTTGGTCACAAGCAGAAAACTTTCTACAGTTTTTTGCTCTTACTCCTTTCTGCTCTCTTTCTTAGAGTCTGGGGTCCAGGGTTAGCCCTGTTGGTATCACTGTATGCATTCCTAAATTCTTTGAAAATCCCATTTGTGTGGGTTTGCACACATGTACCATTTTAATTTGTGCTGTTTGTCAAGTTCATTGATTGTTATCATAGTTACTTTTCTATCCATGCTGAGATAAAATACTGAACACCCAAAGTTAAAGGTGGAAAGATTTATTTAGCTCACAGTTTATAGAGGTTTCAGTTCATGATCGACTGACTCCAAGGCAGGGTAGGATCTTAAAACAGCAAAAGACAGTTCATGGTCACAGATCACAGCAAAAGCAACAAGAGGAGACAAGTCACTGTCTGCCCCTTATATTGTATCTGGTCTACTGGGATCAGGTTATTGTCAATCCAATCAGTGGACTGATCCAGAAGTCACCTACCCTTAATCCCAGCATTGATCTGGAATCAGTCACATGTTCTAGGTTCACCTATTTCCAGAAATGCCCCATCTAAAAGTGCATGAGGCTTTGGGGAACATCTAGACAAAAACTGTAACAGGGACTTTGTCTGCTAGATCTGTTGTGCTATTTGTTAATCACTGTCAGTGATCTCTTTGTTTTTCGTTTCAGTAGTTGGTGTTTTTTTTCCCTCATGCTTTACATTTTTCTGTTTTTCTTTTTTTTCCTTCTTTGGGGTCAGTACTGTGACGTGAACCCAGGACCTCAAGCACGCTGGACAAGCATTCTGACACAGAACTCCATCCTCAGTACTTTGATTTTTCTGTTTGAAGGGTTTTTTGCTTTAAATTTTATTTACTATGGGATAGCAGATCAAACACAGGCCTTTGTATATACTAGGCAAGTGCTCTACCACTGCGCTACAGCCCAGGTCTTACATGTGCAGTAATTTTTGGTGGAGTGTTGGACATTTGAAGTGTTGTGTTGTTGACCACATGTCCTTTAAAAAGAGTATTGAATTTTATTTGGCAAGCAACTATGAGGGATAGATCTGTATTGCAGGGCTATTGCAACTTTGACAGAAAGTAACACTGTATTTTGTGTTGTGTTTTTTTACTACTGCCCAAGGTGTTGAAGGCAGTTGTACTTGTTAGTGGCTTTTCTGAATTGCCTCCAAATTTGCATGTAGCCAAAAATGGAAGCCTCCATAGTCCATGTAGATTTTTGGAGGTCCCCTCCTTTCCTGCCCTTGGGTCCACATTTCCAGCCACCATTGTTCCCTGACTGCTATCTGACTTGCCACTTGGCAAAACCATGACGTTCTTCCTGGCTTCGTCTGTACATGCAGTGTTCAGACTCAGGAATGAACTTGGCTGGCAAGGAATTCCTGGATTACTTTTCTGCTTTCATTGCCTGTCAACCACTATCTGAAACTAGATGCTTCATATATTTTGTCCTGTTGTTTCCTTTACAAGAACATAGTTCTATACCATTTAGTATCTTCTGGGTAGGATTGTCACTCACTGTTGCTGTTTTGTCCACATGATTGGGTTTGTGTTTTTAGGGGTTTTAGAAGAAACCACATGTTTTGTCCACATGATTGGGTTTGTGTTTTTAGGGGTTTTAGAGAAGTGTGGCTCTTAGCAGGTTGTCTGCCTATAATTCCTCCTTTTTAGAAGTTAAATGAATGGTTTTCTTCCATGCTGACTATTAATAATATATTTTTAGGACTGATGTAAGCAGTTACTCAGATTATATTACTCTTAAGTTCTACAGTACTCTTTTTACCTACTTTTCATTGACTGTAACTCACCTATCTTGTAGGCCATGCCGGAGTGTCTGCACACATGATGAAGAAGAGGACATCCCACAAGTAAGCTGTTTGATCCTGTTTTCAGACCGCATGGGTGGCCCTTGGCTGCTTAGCATGTGGGAGGGGGTTCTCAGCTCACTGTGGCTGATCCCCAGGGAGAAACGTGGTGTAGTCTTCCCTGTCCCTTCCCTCCTTGACGTGGCTGGAGTGTACCAGCTGTGCCCTTCAGCTGCTACAAGCCTGTGAGTCAGTCTCCCTCCTGGCTGCCCTGGAGCTGGCTGGGTGGTGAGAACACTGTTGGCGAGCAGGGTGGTTACAGGGTTTCCCTCCTGGTGCAGTCCGAAGTGTGCTGTTTTGCACTGAAAGACTGCCGGTAGTGTAGGGTCATCCTACTCTGCTTTGTAGCACTGTGGTGGATGAATGAAAACTAAGTAGCTGTGTGTGTAAAGTGAGTTCTCTGTACCATCAAGGAAAAAAGTGATAAATGTGTTCTTAATGCTGCAAGTCGGGCCCTGGAATACAGCTCAATGGCATAAGTGCCTGCCTGGAAAGCACAAGGTTCTGAGTTCGATTTCTGGTAACTCACAACCACCACCACCACCAAATCCTGCAAGTCAGTAGGTGCCAGGTACAGAAGTCACTTTTTCCTGCATTGCTGAAAGTGCTGCTTTATCCTGGAAATGCTGCTGTTAATAATCTGTTGGAACTGTGAGAATCTTCTCAGTAAGAGCTTATTAAATATGGAACAGACTCTTCCCTTGCCCTGCACTGCCTGAGACACAGTGGCAGTGACTTGGCAGATGGTCACTCTGCACCTTAGTCACTGCACTGTAGAGAAGGACAGGCCTGTTGGCCACGGAAGATCTGGACGATTAGCAGCAGTTGAACCAAACTAGTTACGATGTGCAGTATAATCTAGGAAGTAAAAATTCGAAGGTTTTCTTGAGGTTTAATAAAATGTTTCTCAGACTTCATTCTCTTGCTTGTCACTTTCCATACATAGTTCTCCTATGTGTGGTGAAGTGACAGTTTGTGTGGTAACTGCATACTCATTATCGTGTCATTACTGTAAATGGTGAGCTGTCTCTTGCTTCATATTAAAGATAGCAGTAAAAACAATTATACGTCATAAATATTAGGTAGTGCAGGCAAAAAACAACTGAAGTATCAGCTTTGCAAGACCAAAATAGTTCATTTAAAATAGATTCTGTCACTTAAAATAGAAGACTTGGAGAATGATAATGTATGTTCTGTTAGCCATTTTTATACTTGCACAGGAGTTTCCATGTCCTCCTGAGCAGTACTGTGTATCTGAATATCGTAAGTTTGTCTTCTATTTTTTTAGTAATGCATGATAAGGGCAGAGAGATGAGTCCCTCAGGACAGACACAGACCTATGTTATGGATTTGTCTCCCTAAATGACAAGAGATTGATGGGTGTGGTGGTGCACACTTGTAATTCTAGCACTGGGGAGGCTGAGGCAGGAGAATTGCCGTGAGTTTAAAGCCAGCTTGGACTACACTGAGTTCAAGGCCAATCTGAACTACATAGACCGTGTTTTTTTGTTTTTTGTTTTTTGTTTTTTTTTTTTTTTTTTAAAGAAAGAAAAAAGTATAAAAAGTTAAACACTTACCTTTTTAAAAACTTAAGAGTTCATGTGCATACCAAATGGAAGAATCTCTCTTTTATGTGCCATGTTGTGGAGAACTTGACTTGGTGTCTTAGCAGGCACACGTCATCTCAAAGACTGGAATACCTTGCTGTGCAGCAAAAGAGCAAAGCTGAAATGGAATGAATGGAGACGGTATCATTTCTCTTTTCCTGTTCTCAGTACAAACCTGAAAATGGGTGGAGGCACTCAGTAGACCGAATAACAGTCCCCACTTTCCCAAGTGGTGGCTGCTAACATGATGAAATGGAGGGAGCAGGGGAGTGTGGAGCCTCGGAGGGGCTGCCTGGTGGCTGCTGCAAGCTTCCTGTGAGACTCCTCACCTGTGAGGCTTGGCCTACCCATGTCTGAAGGCAGGTGCTACAGAGCAGTGCGGCTTTCAGCTTTAAGCAGTGAGATTTTTACAGAAATCAAATATTATAAAAAGCACAGACCTATGTCTTCTCTCTTCTGAGTTGCTTTCAGGTGTGATTTGAGGAATCTTGGCGTTCCCTGTGTGTGGCCTTGGTTTCCAGTGACGGCCATGCTCCTGTGGCCTCCCAGGGTAGTAAGAGTGAGCTGAGGACGGACCTGCACATGGAAGTGTCTATGGTTGCCTGAGGGGGGATCACAGCAGCACCCAGAGCACTCTGCTGTCCTGTCAGGTGCAGGGAGCATTCGTGTGTTGGGTCAGAAGTACACACCACACAGGAAGTGCCACGTAGTGTGGTCTCCTTCCCTTTGTTCTTCCCCCCTCCTGTGTGTGAGTGTGAGTGTGTGTGTGTGTGTGTGTGTGTGTGTGTGTGTGTGTGTAATAAGCAAGTGCTTCACTGTTGAGCTACTTCTCCCTGCCCCCTTGTGTTTGATTTTAAATCACTAGAAATGTTGGAGAACCCTTTCTGGGCTCAGCATGACATTGTTTGGGAAATGCCTTAAAAGTGTACCTTGAAAAGAAAACAGAGCTGGAAAGTTTAATATGAACACATTTAATTATATAGTGATTATTTTTATCTCCCCCTCCCCCAATTGAATAGGGTACAACTTTCCATTTGAAGAGACTGTTAGAAAGGTTAGCTGTGTTTTGGTATGTTTTTCACTATTTCACTTTTGGCGTGGGGGGGGTTTTGAGACGGGGGTCTCACTATGTAGTTCAGGCTGGCCTCGGACTCGCTTTATAGCCTAGGCTGGTCTCAAAACTAACACACATTGCAAAAGTAGACTAGGATCTACTAATCACTAAATAGATGCATTGCCAACAATTTCTTTTTTCTTCCACTTTTTAAGAATCAAGTACTAATCCATTGATGGAGAATGTCGTTTGACTTCCTCTTCATCCCTGGTGTGGTTTCGTGTAGTTTCTGTGGTTTCTCTGTCATGGAGAAACTGAGCACTTAGATGAGGAAGCTGATGCCACAGGAGATTAACTTGTCCACAGGCCTACAGTTCATCATCGATTATGTCTAGGGCTCAGAAACAGGACTGTCTCATGCCACACCATAGTCCCTGGGCCACAGGGTTTGGTGTCTGATGAAAAATCAGTCATTTAAGTCACAGATGTGTGGACTGGGTGACACTTGGTGCAAGGCACCTAAACACATCATGGTGTTGACATCCTCAGCCTCTGTCTAAATTTTTGAGACAGCATCTTTCTGTGTTGCACAGCTGCCAAGAATGGACCCCAACTTGTGAACCTCCTGCCTCTGCCTCCAGAAGGCTGATCTTTTAGGCGTGTGCCACCACGCCCATATTGTGGCAGGTATTAACTTAGAACGTCATGACATAGAATGTCTGACATAGTATATGACACTTTCAGCCTTGCACCAACTTGTTACTTGCAGCTGCCAAGCAGTTTGTACATTCAGGGCTCAGAAACTGGAAAACATGGTTTTGGTTTGGCACATGCCTGCTGCTTGGTTCTCCCCTTGGCACCTTGTACAAATGGATCTAAGCTCTTTCATTAATAAAATCAATACAAATCCTATAAATTGAGTCTATTTGCATTGGTTTGAGTAATTACTGCCCAAATAGAAATCCTATTCATATGGCTTAGAAATTACTACCGTTATTACCAGATTTATTTTGTCTTTAAAACATTTTACATGTAATGGTGGCTGAATTGTATAGTATATGCAGAATGTCACAACTTTTTTTGTAGCCACAGTGGCACCCATTATTCCCTTCTCTCTCTCTCTTTTTTTTTTTTTGAGAATGTCTTGCAGTGTAGTTCAGGCTGGCCTCATTCACGGTGGTCCTCCTGCCTCAGCCTCCCAAGTGCTGAAATTATAGGAGTGTATTACCAAGCTTGGCAGATGATTTTCTGTAACATTCTCCATATGACTTACGTGCATTTTTTTAAACACGCAATTTCTTGTTGATTCTAAGTAAGCTTTAACAGAGTGAATTTTTTTCCAGTAATTGTGCTCATGGCATTTCTTCGAGCCTTAATAGTTCATCAGTAACCAATTCCCTAAATTTTAACATGGCTACCTTACAAGCACCCTATTGCCAGTGTATTTAATACCTATGTACAACCACTGTACTATACCTCAAATAAGCTGTTACAGTCTCTGATACCATTTTAGTGTTTTCCTTATGGACTGTAATCTGATGACATTTGGTCTGCTAAATCAGTGCCTATCTTTGCAATACTGTAATCAGAGACCCACTGAGATGTGTACAGGCCACCCTGTTCAACTGCCAGTTCCAATCGGAACCTCTCGGCGGGGAACCTGCCAATTGCAGCGGTCCCAAGAGTGTGTGATGAATAGTATGCCATTCTAATCACCGCTCATCTTTACCATCAGTGCTTGTGGCGGGAAAACTCACCTCAGATCTAAGTTGTTCACTAAGTAATTAGAAATGCTATGATACTGTATTTCAGTTCTTTTGGAATGAATAGATTAATACTCTAAAAATAGAACTGCTCTTAACAAAAAGGACAACAGAAATTAAGTGAAGAAATCTGTGTCGTTAGAATTAAATAAGTCTGCTTTTATATGTAACTTCTTGTCTCAGGTTAGCAGTAAATGAAAACTAACCTTACTGTAAAAGTGAAATACTTGTCATTGTAGAAAAATCTGAGAATACCGGCAAACACAGAGGAAGCTTTTAATAATGTATTGTGTATTTTAAATCTTTAAAAATACCTTTATGAGTAATTGTGTGTAAAATTATTTTCATGTAGTTTTTAATATTTGTGTTTTTAAAAGCCTTTACATTTGGGCTGGGGATTTAGCTCAGCGGCATAAGCACCTGCCTTGCAAGCAGGCGGTCGTGAGTTCGTCCCTGGTACCGATAAAAATGAAAAAGACCAAAAAAAAAAAAAAACCCTTTACATTTGCCATGATTTTAATAGTTATATGATTAATTTATTCTAGCAATATATAACATACTACAGTTAATCAATGGAGC